TCTGCCTACATTCACTCGATTGGAAAGCATTGGGATAGGTGTAAGAAATGCGCTAATAGCTCTATAGCCTATTTGAAAGGCTAAGGGAGTTTCCACCATATTGCTGACACCTATCCAGTACTCTCAGGCCTTGGAATGCAGGTTAATGTAGGCAGAGAGAGGGGCGCAAGCAGGGAAATAAGACTAAACACAGAACAAAATGGAGAGTGAGGGATGAATTTCATTGGGAAAGTGTGACTGAGAGCGTGATTGGGAGAGGGTGAGCTGAGTGAAAGGTGGTATGGGGAGAAGTGAGAGAAGTTAAGTGGACTTTGAGCGGTTCTGGACCAGTTCTAACCGCCATTTTTGTATACAGGGCGCCCTGTGGATGGCGCAACATCAATTGCTGTGCACTCCGGGAAAGCTCTGGTTGTCCCGCTTCACATACTGCTCTCCGCTCTCATCTGAGATGCAGTATGTGAAATCTGACACCTGATTTGCATAGGGAGTGACACGTCACATTTTCTAGCCTATCCAGACAAAGGATTGATATCCTCTGGCTGTGAAACTCGCAGCTCCACTTACAATATGGTATATGAAACAGGAGAGCCTAGCGATTGCAGCAAAAGCATAATCATCTCGCTGTGATATTCTCAGATTTAGAGCTCCCAACATGAACATATATAAAATAATTTTGTAGAATTGAAACAAGACCACTTTGTCTTGGTCACAGATGGACGAAATCACGTTGTGCTTAAAGCTGAAGTTGTAACGAGTTAGCAGGCATTTGAATGGCGTTCAGAGGACACTGGGCAGAAAATTGTCGTCAGTTATATGAAATGGTGCCAATTTTGTAGTCACTAAGTATGATCATATTTATTTTACAGCTATAAGAAAGGTGAAATATTATAGTAAGTCATTTATAATTTGATTGCTACTATATTTAGAAGCATTTCAAGCCATATTCCCCCACTTTTGTTGAATAGGAAACATATCCTATATGATTTTACATATTTCTAACATATTTGCACTGTGTACTTGAGCTTGTGTCCTCAAAAGTGACTACACCTCAGCAATGTATAACTATTTTTACCAGAAAGGTGAGATTTGTATCTTTCTGGCAGAATAAGCATTACTATGTATTGTTTATGGCCCTCTCATGATAAATAATTACTTTTAAGTATGTCTATTTAGGCGGAAATATACATTTTGACATTACATTTAACTGGTTTGGGGAGACACATTGAAGTGACTTAGGAGCCGAATCCTAACTTGAGATACGCATAACTTTGAATTTCAAGTAAATCATAAATTGGTTGATGTCAATGGTAAATTTGTACAAAAATTATAGTAACCGATCTCAAGATAGGGTTGACCCTTGATAAATAATGGGGAGAGGCTTGACAAACCCAGAGAAAGGAGGAGGTGTCAAGGAGAGTGTTAATGACATATTTAGGCCTGTTTGCATTGGGGTAGACAGGGTGAGACAGACCTTGTAGCAGGGATGTAATTGAGGCTAAATGCAAGTAAACACAGTTTTGATATGACGCATAGCACATAGAAATAGAATGAATAGAATGGTCTTGGAACCTCAAACCCTGGAAATTTGACTGGTAAACTCATGGGTACATTCACAATGGCTGCCTGGTATTGTGATGCAATCATTTTCCATAGTAATGTAGATTGTTCATTCAAATGATGTTAACTGATGTGGCTCATGCAATGGAATGTATTTTTTGTAATGTCAGTTGAGTGTAATCAACAAATCACAACATATTTTAGCACATATTTTATTCCGGCTTTGCTGCTAGGTCAAAAATATACAGGTTAAGACAACATCGTCACAAATCTGGGACCAGCGCTGTTGCTAACTACCAGCGCCATTGCTAATTAGCATAGCTGGTCCCATTGTTGCAAAGAGTTATGGGATATTAGAATCCCATCTTAACCTTTGTCATCTTCAACCTAGCTTTGCTCCTATGGGACACTCGCAATGGCCACCAGTCCACCCATCATGCCGTCATTGACTTGAATGGGAATGTCCGTTCTATTCATTATATTTCTATAGCATAGCAGCTATGCACCTAGTGCACTAAATTAGCACTGTTAGCATTGACGTGGGGAACAGCCTGGCGGTCTCGACCAGTGTTCAGTGTTTACCCACCTTTTATTTAACACTACATCCCTGTCTGTTAGTAAAGGTTGGACGCAGGCACTAGGGGAATGGTGTAGTGAGGAACAGTTAGAGAGAGCTCCATACAACAATAGCTGAATTGGCGCTGGCTGTATACATTAAAAAACACTTCCTGGTTCCTTTGTGTTCAGTAGACAAACCACTTCTCTAGGTCTGCAATGTGTTCACATCATGAAACTTCACCTATAAGTTAACCATACAATACCATACAATACGCAATGTCAGGCGTAATAACCTCAACGTTATCATTGATTTAATTTAGACCAAACCCAATGGAACCAAGCCTCAAGGGTTCTTATACTCGCACAGCATTTCCAAGTGCTCCCTTTAGTTAGTACCTGTACTAGCAGAGTATCTAATGCCCACTTTCTTATAAAGTGTAATGACAAATACACGTCACAATGAGTCTGTGACTGTCAGAGTACTTGATGCTAATTTCCATGTGTGAGAGGACCATGATGAACCATCTGAACGATTTGTTAGCTTTGACATGCTTTACTGCTAAAGCTCTCTATGGAGATGTTAAATGACATGACAGATGCGACTGCAGTTTTGACATCATCGTAGCGCGTTGGCTGCTTGCAGTAATGTTTTGAAAGCACAGTGCTTGATGGCAGATTCTGCAGGTGACAAGGCACACCTTGTGTTGACAGCCCATACGCTACATGCACTTACTTACTGAATGCAATTAAGAGAGAGAAAGGGTAATGGTATTCATCCATTTTGGTTCAAATTTCAAAGAGAACATTGTTTTTACGTGTTAAGTCTGTGTAGAGTGTACTGTGAAGCTGAAAATATATGTTTGGGATCAAGTCAAAGATCTTTGTCCTACCTCTAAAATTAATTTAGCCTGATTCTCTTTAAGCCTGCTACTGAGAAGTGGCTTTTTTGCGTTTTCAAATGGTATGTACACGTACATACAGTGTATGTGAATCTTCACACATATATTTATATATGTGTGTATCAGCATATATAGTTTATCAGAGAGAGGAATGCCTGCAGTTTTGGGAGCTGCCAGATTTGCGCCTCTTCCCAAGCAGAGCAGTTTTTCAAACTCCAGCTAAAATCGACAAAATAAATTACAGCTCATAATAGTCAATAGCTGTTCTATATACAGACACACATAAAATATGTGCATATACTGTAAATACATATATTAGTTTGATTAATATCTATTTATCCATATATACTGTATATATGTATATATATGAATACATTAGCTTGAATGCGTGTTATACATATACATATATATGTACTGCAAATATAAACAAGTTCATATATTTCAAACATTTTTGATGTTCTTTTAACTATGAGGTTAGGATGTCAAGTTAGAAAAGGTAAGGCTGCAGTATGGAACAACCCTTCCCATGCACTCTCCATCCCATCCCCCAAGAGAAAATAAGAAGAGAGAGAGAAAAAAAAAAACATTTTCAATAGTTAATTGTAAACTAGCGAAGTGAGCGACCCCATTGGTCATCTGAAATAGTGTTGACTGTTTTCAAAAAGCATAACAGCAATATATATGTATGTATATATACATATATTGTATATATTCTAAATGTACACAACTTTTAAATGCAACTCTTTAATCGATTAACAAAGATTAAAAGAGATGCAGTGGTCCGAGTATATTAATAGAGCTACAAGTCCTCAGCAATAAAAATGTTTGGTCTTTTGGTCCCTAAAACAACTAAGGAATGACAGGTAAGACTCCCTGGAGACCGTTGCTATGGCTCTCCTTGGCAACGGTATCCCCTGGAAACGGACAGGCACTCCAAGCTAAAGATGGCCATCCCGAATCAAAGTGAGTTTGGGTCATGAAATATCGCATTCCCTACAAAGTTCTCTCCTCCTAGTCCTGTAAAAGTGTTCTTTCAAAAGTTATTTCCCCATACCCTAACACCTTTACATAGAGATCTCCTATGGCATTCCCCCATAAAGTATTTTTTTAAAGTTTGTTTAGTTCTTGGAACTCTTGGCATCCATACTTCCTCCATCTCTGTTCCGTGTTTTTTTTTTTTTTCTTCTTTTATAATACTTCCCTTGTAGTCTTGTAAGGTATCTGTCATTCAGGCAGGTTTAGGGAGAGAGAAAGAGAAGAGGGGAGGCGATAAAGAGAGTAAGAGTCCTGGAGCTACCCAGGCTTGCATGAGTTCTCTCTGAGGTCCAAAAGGTACATCCAACAGAGATGTCCATTACTTGGTCATTTATTTGTTCGTGTTCAGCCCAGTATCTGATCCAGTTTCATACCAGCCTCAAAGAATTCCTGTGTCCCGGTGGTCTTTCAGTTCAATTACGTTGTTCATGTAATCAACATGTGTTCCAGCTCAATAAAAACCTGGAAAAGTAAGAATATGGTCCTTTATTCATTGCTAACAATAAAATCACATTGCTCTATTTGCCCTAGCAAAACATATTTTCACATAGTCAAATAAAACATATTCTTTGAAGAATCTCAAATCTCAAATATATTTTGATTTCTTTAACACCTTTTTGGTTACTACATGATTCCATTTGTGTTATTTCATAGTTTTGATGTCTTCACTATTATTCTACAATGTAGAAAATAGTAAAAAATAAAGAAAAACCCTGGAATGAGTAGGTGTGTCCAAACTTTTGACTAGTACTGTATATATATATATATATACATACAGAATATATATATATATAAAAATATATATATATATGTATGTGTTAAACATTCTACAGTATTTGATAAATTAAATAATTTAGGGGTCTAAATGCGGGCGACTCCTCTCACCTGTGTTGCCCTGTGTGCAGCGACTGCCATATCCCCCAGGGCAGGGGTGGCTGATAGGGGGAAGGGCTAGTAGGGGCGGTTGGCGTCCTTCGGCCTCTTGAGCTGCACCTTGAGTCTCTTCATGCCGATCTGAAAGCCGTTCATTGACTGGATGGCAGCATGGGCACTACCTGGGTTATCGAAACTCACAAACCCTGGGGGATGGGCCGCACAAAGAGAGAGAGAGAAAGAGAGATGGAGAGAGAGAAAAATGGAGAGGAAGATGGAAATATCGAGGGAGAGAGAGAGGGGACGGAGTTAGGTAAGTACCAGACCAAAGAAAGGACAGTATGAGTGACAGTTGGAGTTTTATGAAAGGATAGCGTGAGATGGAAGGAAAGAAGGAAAACGAGATACAGGCAAGGGTAAGGATGAGGGGAGGGATCAGAGAAAAGTTATTTCAGATTTCAAGTCGGTGACAGACAGTTCAACATGATTCTTACATTTTCCCACATTTGCAACACACAAAGAATACACTAACTTCCAATGAATACTTCATCATACTGTTATCTATGTAGCACATTTCCAGCCATAGCCATTCAGTTTATCTCAGTTTACAACACTTCAAAAACACATGTGGTAACACTTCACTTCAATTGCAGTTCTCTTATAATATTGTCGCGTGGACATCTTAACATATAATGCATGTTAAAGTTACTGTACATTAGACACAGTTTGACACAACATCAAATGCCCACATCAACAACAAGCCTAACGACACGCAATAGAAACACAACACTAGGTCATTCAAATCAAAGGTAGAAACCATAGAATTAGAACATACAGAACAGACATCACTCGTCAAAACGACACTTAAATATTTGTCGGACATATTTCCGCCTCTCAATTACCAAAATAACATCACCTCTAATTGCAAGAATAAATACCAATTTAATTCTGCCTCTGTTAAAAGGCCCATGTAAATTATACCCAATTTTACTATGTTGATTCCGGATATTGTAAATCTATGGTAGAGACTACTTCTCAATGAAAGATATTAACTAGTCCTGTCATGGGTATCACCATAGAGGGAGTGTTTATGGGATAACACTTTACTAGAACTCTGCATCATATAGCTGTCATAAGCCTGTCATTAGTATATAACATCTGTTATAAGCAGTCATGATACGTCCGTTTATGCTGCAATACATTCCTGGTAGCTTTCAGTGATATGCCAATTAACCATTGCAGGTAACACTTCCTATGGATACCCTCTTCATAATGCATTATAATGCATTATGCATATCTCATAAGGTTTATATATATGCTTATAAGGCATTATGAAGAGGGTATTCATAAGAAGTGTTACAACCATGCTTATTTCTCAGCTAGCTGATGTACTAGTCTAAATTATTAGAGCCATGTCATGTATCATATTGTAGCAACCTTAAAGGGTAGGAAGCATGAGTTTTTACTCACCAAAGTAACAACACAGTGTTGTTCAAAGACTTAGTAATTTAGTTGTATTCACGATCTGGTTACCTATAACTACAAACATGGTAACGTTTTGGATTTTTTACTTTTTTACCATTTGGTAACTTATTTTCAGATATCTTCTAAACTACCCACAAGCACTATTTCTCAACATCATATGGAGAATCTACTCTGCGTTAGCTAGCTCAAGCTGGCTAACATTAGCCACTAGCCATGCAGACTGAGTGTTGGCAGTGGTGAGCTACAATCCACCAATCACAAGGAGGTGTGATGTAAACAACCAATCAGATTCCCCACACGTGGAGGATGCCGTTTTTCGTGAAGTAGGCTACCAGAGTTTTTCAACTTTGGTTTAGTACTAGTGCGCTAAAGTAGCTGACTGATGATGCTGTTGTGAACATTTCCATCTGCCTGGAGCCTTCCTCAGATCGCCGTCCTAATCTTGACTCTTCCCCTCATCTCCTGTGCCCAATGCCGCCTCTGGATTATTGCCTCTGGAATTTATCTACTTTGGATTTACCTCACTATATCACCATTGGATTAGCTGACTCTCCCTCGGCCGATGAAACGACCTCTCCTTCTGAAGCACCTCTCTCCTTGACTCTTCTTTGGTTGCTAACTCAGCCATCAATCTGTAAGTCTCCGCTCTCTTTACTTTATATCTGCTGTCTTTTTTGTTTTTGTGTTCTGTGGGTTCCTGCCTGTGCTAGACTAGTTGGTGTTGTTCTCTGGCTTACTACTCAGGAATGTCGACCGTGGTGGTTGGCTAGCTAGGCTAGTTAGCTGGCTAAAATAACTAACTTTAGCTGGCTGGCTGGCTTGCTTGCTGGCTAAAATAACTGCATATACCGGTAACATTATTTGATAACTGGTTAGATGGGGTTATGTATTTCCAAAACCTTGGTTTACTTTAATGTAGCTGTGAGCTTGGTGTTGATAGCAACTGGCTGACTCATGCATTGCTAATGTAAAGTTACCAGGCTGATAAGGCTAACGTTAGCGGGCTAGTAGGGCTAATGTTAGCAGGCTAATTGGCTAGCAACCTTGCAAGCTGATTTGTAACACTTTATTCATAAAGTATTTGGTTGTAAGATGGCTGAAATGTAATTGAAGTCATGTGTTCAAACAATTTGGTTTAATTTGAAGTTATTTCTGTTGGAGTTTCCATAATAGGGAATAGGCTGGCTTGCCGGGTCCTCCATATTACGCCACACCACGCAAAAACATTTTCCAGAATGACTTAGGTATCTTAGGAATTCTGATTGGTTTTATGTAGCTAATAACTCGAAAAATAGAAAAGTTAGGTGTAACTTTGCATTGGGACTTTTGATGTGTATACTAATGCAAATCCATTTGTTTCATGTGCTTAAGTTTATGCTACCTACCCTTTGGTTCAGACCTCTTGGCGCAATAGTTAAGCTGTTGATTTGACAGCCGCTGGACCCAGGTCGGGTCTACCCCCCGAATTCGCTACAATATGTTGTCATAACCTGACATAAACCATTATGACAACTTATAACATCTGCTCTGTCATACTATTGAGAGTGAGGACCACTTTATGATGCAGAGTTACAGGTGTTAACCACCCCTAAATGCATTGCATTTATCTGTAAGAGAAGACCCGCAAGACACATTCACAAGCAACTCCGGAATTTACAATTTCTCTTTTCAATGTTTTCGAAAAAGGTTGCGGCTGCAGTAAAGAAAGTCATTAGTGAAAGAATAATAATAATAATAATAATAATCTTTACAGGTGTTTTATCGTTTTTACCCACCAAAGCATTTACTTTGGTTTGTCGCCCGATCCACAAACACTTTGGAGGAGATGACATTACCGAAAGGCAGGAACATCTGCATCAGCTCGCCATCCCCAAACTCCTGAGGGAGGTGGTAGATGAACAGGTTACAGCCCTCCGGCCCTGCACACAGAGAGAGAAGGAAGGGGGGATGGGGAGAGAAGGGGAGGGGAAGGGTGGAATAGGGGTTGGAGAGAGGAGGGGAGGGGAAGGGTGGGATGGGGGTAGAGAAAGGAGTGGAAGAGAGAGAGGGTTGGGAGGGCATGGGGAGAGAGAAGAGAGAGGGGTAGGAGGAGAGGGTGGGGGTAGAGAGAGAGCAAGAGAGAGAGGAAAGGGGTGGGATGGAGGAAGAAGAGGGGGACAGGTTGGGACAGAGAGAATGGGGGGGAGAGAGAATGGGGGGGAGAATGTGTGTGTGGGGAGGTGATAGCAAAGGAGTGATAGAGTTGGTGGTATAGAGGGAAGGCAAGGGAGAAATAAAAGGAAGGGAGAGAGAAATGGAACAGAATAGCAACATGATGATGCAACTGAACTGATACACAACATCTGAGATCAGAAAGACTATGTAGAACAATTTCTGATCTCAGATGATGTCTGTTTCTCAAATGGCAATCCATTCCCTATAAAGTGCACTACTTTTGACCAGGGCCTATAGGGCTCTGGTCAAAAGTCGTGCACTATAAAGGGAATACGGTGCCAGTTGGGATTCAACCATAATGCCCATATGTTTCATCTACACTCCACAGGGGGGAGCCAGAGTCCCAAGCCAGAGTCATCCAACACACAGGTCAATGAGTTCTCCCTCCAAACGGGCTGATTCTAGCAAGTCTACGGGTGTGCTTCTCTGTCTCACTTGTTTTCTCTGGCTTTCTTCCAAGGCAAAACTAACTGTTAAATGCAGTGGGTGGCTGTCCTATCGCCTCTGAATACAGAACACTGTCTGTTTCCAGACGATTCTACATGTTGAATCACCACCAGCAGGTGATCTACTGCAGACGGCCGACATTCAGGTGATGGTATTTCCTTTCCTTGTGTCCTTTCCTAGGTGATGACTGCTCTTCACATCAGTGTGGGTGAAGGAAAGAACACAAGGAAAGGAAGCTATTGAGGTGCAACTCTCATGTAAAATTGAGGCAGACTGCATGGAAATGCAGGTATTTCAGGCAATACTTATTAACGCACTATGAACGACTGGTCATTTGCTAGCAGTGTACGAGCCTGGAGACAAGCAAAACATACCAGTCACTTTAACACTGAATTTTATCAGATTGGTAAAGGCCAGGGCTGGCGTATGTGTGTGTGCTCCTCACCTTCTCTCTGTTGTTGTGGGATGATGGGAGGAGGCTGGGGAAAGGCCTGGCTGATCTGGCCATATGCAGCAGGGTAGGCTGCTAAGACACATACACAAGCAGATCAGATAACACTCAACGGCTGGAGAGTGCGCGCGCACACACAGCTACACTCACTCTCACACACTCACGCTATGCACAGAAATATGTACACACACACCAATTGATTAGATAAGAGGCTCAGACACCTACATATGACATTATACACACACACACACACTCACACACACACACACACACACATACCATGTGAGACTGACAGACCTGCATACTGCTGGACTCCTGTGTAAGCCTGCTGTAAGTGGTCTGCTGCAGTGGGACTCTGAGCTGTTGAGTCGGAGAGAAGAGAGGAAGAGAGCGAGGAAGAGAGAGAGGAAGAGAGAGAGGAAGAGAGAGAGGAAGAGAGAGAGGAAGAGAGAGAGGCGGTGGAGAAAGAGAGAAATAGAGAGAAAGGACGAGAAGAGTAGGAAAAAACAGTAAGGATGGGAAGAGGCAATAAAATAGGAGGGAAATAGACAGAGAGGGAGATATAAAGTGGTTAGAGAGAGACTAAGAAAACTAGCAAGTCACATGCTGTGTATGAACGTGGCAACTTCTCCTGTCTCTCACCATATCCCCTCGAACAACTGAGCAAAAAGGACGCAGTCTGAGACTGGCTACATTTCTACACACACACCAGTTTTAATGACCAGATTGAGCACTGAAGCACACCAAGAATAATGTAGATCCACCATCTCCACACAAAACTCCTGGCTTTCCTCACCCAAAACCACAGGCATTACAGCACATCCCTGTGTGGTGCACATTTGTGGACCAAATAACATTACAGATACAGTACACAGAGAATTGGAAACATTACAGCTAAATAATAACCAACACCAATACCATGCTACTACACACACCACACACTCACCACAACCAAGTTGTCACACACACACATGCATGTAAACACACCCACATTTCCGCCATGAAACACCACACATAAACACACATGCACACACACACACACACACACACACACACACACACACACACACACACACACACACACACACACACACACACACACACACACAATCATTATAAAGCACACATGCGCAAACACATTCACACACAACATACCACACTACCATCATCACCAAAACCATATGACCACACCGACCATGTAACACTAAGACTAAACAGGATCATTCTGATAGAAAGAATGGGGGAAGGGTGGGCAGAATGGGTACCATTCTGATATAAAGAAAGGGGGGAGGACGGGGAAAATGGGTACCTTCAGAGAGAGAAGAGAGGAAGCAGCCACCCTGAACCCCAAAACAACTTCGATGAGCCAAGCTGTTTTTTTCAGAGTCCTCTCTAAAAACCACCTCCTGCAACACTGGAAAGAGATTGGAGAAAGAAGCATTTCCTCCCCTCTTCACAAACCCAAGGAAGTCGACACACATACTGGCTAACATTGGAACATGACACAAGTGCATACTATACATAAGCAACCTTTATAGTTTATAACCTTTTATAAACAGCGTTCTTACCATTCATAACACAGCTGTTTGTTTCATTGTCATTTTGCAAGACCCGTCGACTACACAAACCAGTTTTTCTATAGAGCCAGCCCTCCTGACAAGAATCCAACATCAAGCCCCTCTGAAAGGATGGGAAATGTTTGGAGCAAAATGGACCTCCTGCACAAATTACCCTCAGTCACAGATTTGCACCAAAGCCACATCATCTTTACACGTAAGTAGTTACAATGGCCTTTGGGGTTTATTAGAACTTACCTGGTGTTCTACCCAGACTCATATTTATCTGTGTTACGTTAAATGTGTAAAATGGGGTAATATGTGTAACATATATGATATACTGTAGTATCTGGATCTACCAGAATACCACCCTGCATCCCACTGATGGCTTGCTTCTGAAGCTAAGCAGGGTTGGTCTTGGTCGGTCCCTGGATGGGAGACCAGATGCTGCTGGAAGTGGTGTTGGAGGGCCAGTAGGAGGCACTCTTTCCTCTGATCTAAATTAAGCAGAATAATATATGCCCCAGGGCAGTGACTGGGGACATTGCCCTGTGTAGGGTGCTGTCTTTCGGATGGGACGTTAAACAGGTGTCCTGACTCTGTGGTCACTAACAATCCCATGGCACTTGTTATAGGGGTGTTAACCCTGATGTCCTGGCTAAATTCCCAATCTGACCATCATGGCCACCTAATCATCCCTTGCTTCCAATTGGCTCATTCATCCCCCTGTAACTATTCCCCAAGTTGTTGCTGTACATGAGCATGTGTTCTCAGTCAACTTAATTGGTAAAATATTAAAACAATTCTATCTGTATACTGTATGTAGATAGTTGATTGTACTCTGCATGCCTTATGGCGAGTGTGTTTCACGCAGGCATTGTAGTGAGTGTTATATCGTCTCTACAGTGAGGTGGGAAAGTATTTGATCCCCTGCTGATTTTGTACGTTTGCCCACTGACAAAGAAATGATCAGTCTATAATTTTAATGGTAGGTTTATTTGAACAATGAGCGACAGAATAACAACAAAAAAATCCAGAAAAACGCACGTCAAAAATGTTATCAATTGATTTGCATTTTAATGAGGGAAATAAGTATTTGACCCCCTCTCAATCAGAAAGATTTCTGGCTCCCAGGTGTCTTTTATACAGGTAACACTCTTAAAGGGAGTGCTCCTAATCTCAGCGTATTACCTGTATAAAAGACACCTGTCCACAGAAGCAATCAATCAATCAGATTCCAAACTCTCCACCATGGCCAAGACCAAAGAGCTCTCCAAGGATGTCAGGGACAAGATTGTAGACCTACGCAAGGCTGGAATGGGCTACAAGACCATCGCCAAGCAGCTTGGTGAGAAGGTGACAACGGTTGGTGCGATTATTCGCAAATGGAAGAAACACAAAAGAACTGTCAATCTCCCTCAGCCTGGGGCTCCATGCAAGATCTCACCTCGTGGAGTTGCAATGATCATGAGAACGGTGAGGAATCAGCCCAGAACTACACGGGAGGATCTTGTCAATGATCTCAAGGCAGCTGGGACCATAGTCACCAAGAAAACAATTGGTAACACACTACGCCGTGAAGGACTGAAATCCTGTAGCGCCCGCAAGGTCCCCCTGCTCAAGAAAGCACATATACAGTGGGGAGAACAAGTATTTGATACACTGGCGATTTTGCAGGTCTGTAATTTTTATCATAGGTACACTTCAACTGTGAGAGACGGAATCTAAAACAAAAATCCAGAAAATCACATTGTATGATTTTTAAGTAATTAATTTGCATTTTATTGCATGACATAAGTATTTGAACACCTAACAACCAGTAAGAATTCCGGCTCTCACAGACCTGTTAGTTTTTCTTTAAGAAGCCCTCCTGTTCTCCACTCATTACCTGTATTAACTGCACCTGTTTGAACTCGTTACCTGTATAAAAGACACCTGTCCACACACTCAATCAAACAGACTCCAACCTCTCCACAATGGCCAAGACCAGAGAGCTGTGTAAGGACATCAGGGATACAATTGTAGACCTGCACAAGGCTGGGATGGGCTACAGGACAATAGGCAAGCAGCTTGGTTTAGAAGGCAACAACTGTTGGCGCAATTATTAGAAAATGGAAGAAGTTCAAGATGACGGTCAATCACCCTCAGTCTGGGGCTCCATGCAAGATCTCACCTCGTGGGGCATCAATGATCATGAGGAAGGTGAGGGATCAGCCCAGAACTACACGGCAGGACCTGGTCAATGACCTGAAGAGAGCTGGGACCACAGTCTCAAAGAAAACCATTAGTAACACAGTACGCCGTCATGGATTAAAATCCTGCAGCGCACGCAAGGTCCCCCTGCTCAAGCCAGCGCATGTCCAGGCCCGTCTGAGTAAGCTCAGTAAGAGCGTTGAAGATGGGTCGTGGCTGGGTCTTCCAGCATGACAACGACCCGAAACACACAGCCAGGGCAACTAAGGAGTGGCTCGGTAAGAAAGATCTCAAGGTCCTGGAGTGGCCTAGCCAGTCTCCAGACCTGAACCCACAAGAAAATCTTTGGAGGGAGCAGAAAGTCCGTATTGCCCAGCGACAGCCCCAAAAACCTGAAGGATCTGGAGAAGGTCTGTATGGAGGACTGGGCCAAAATCCCTGCTGCAGTGTGTGCAAACCTGGTCAATACCTACAGGAAACATATGATCTCTGTAATTGCAAACAAAGGTTTCTGTACCAAATATTAAGTTCTGCTTTTCTGATGTATCAAATACTTATGTCATGCAATAAAATGCAAATTAATTACTTAAAAATCATACAATGTGATTTTCTGGATTTTTGTTTTAGATTCCGTCTCTCACAGTTGAAGTGTACCTATGATAAACATTACAGACCTCTACATGCTTTGTAAGTAGGAAAACCTGCAAAATCGGCAGTGTATCAAATACTTGTTCTCCCCACTGTACATGCCCGTCTGAAGTTTGCCAATGAACATTTGAATGATTCAGAGGAGAACTGTGTGAAAGTGTTGTGGTCAGATGAGACCAAAATTGAGCTCTTTGGCATGCTGCCTATGACCCCAAGAACACCATCCCCACCGTCAAACATGGAGGTGGAAACATTATGCTTTGGGGGTGTTTTTCTGCTAAGGGGACAGGACAACTTCACCGCATCAAAGGGACGATGGACGGGGCCATGTACCGTCAAATCTTGGGTGAGAACTTCTTTCCCTCAGCCAGGGCATTGAAAATGGGTCGTGGATGGGTATTCCAGCATGACAATGACCCAAAACACACGGCCAAGGCAACAAAGGAGTGGCTCAAGAAGAAGCACATTAAGGTCCTGGAGTGGCCTAGCCAGTCTCCAGACCTTAATCCCATAGAAAATCTGTGGAGGGAGCTGAAGGTTCGAGTTGCCAAACGTCAGGCTCGAAACCTTAATGACTTGGAGAAGATCTGCAAAGAGGAGTGGGACAAAATCCCTCCTGAGATGTGTGCAAACCTGGTGGCCAACTACAAGAAACGTCTGACCTCTGTGATTGCCAACAAGGGTTTTGCCACCAAGTACTAAGTCATGTTTTGCAGAGGGGTCAAACACTTATTTCCCTCATTAAAATGCTAATCAATTTATAACATTTTTGACATGTGTTTTTCTGGATTTTGTTGTTGTTATTCTGTCTCTCACTGTTCAAATAAACCTACCATTAAAATTATAGACTGATCATTTCTTTGTCAGTGGGCAAACGTACAAAATCAGCAGGGGAACAAATACTTTTTTTTCACTCACTGTATATATCCTAAAGCAAGTGTGTGTCCTCCGCACTGTGTTGTGCTGAATCCTGAGCCGACTAGGTGAACAATCTGCCGATGTGCCCTTGAGCAAGGCACGTAACCCTAATTGCTCTGGATAATAGTGTCTTCCAAATGACTAAACTTTTTATGTGGTTGTGGGGGGCTCACCAGGATAGGGGTGTATCCCGTTGGTGTACACAGCTTCGGCAGGGGGCTGCCCGTTGGCCTGAGGGGGGGGCATTCCATTGAAACCATTCACACTGATGGGCGAGGGGATACTGGTCACTGTGGGGCCGCCGATACCAGGGGGGGTACTGCCACCTGGCAGATAGAGATTAAAAAAGAGCGAGAGATGAGCAAGTGACATTGTCAGTTGTCAGGCCAGTTAACTGACAGAGTTTGGTCTGACAACTGACCACTGAGGGCGTTTTTTACTGACAACTAAGGGAGATTTATCTTACAACTAAGTCCCCGCTGCTGATAATGTCCTAATATGGTTGTCTTACATGTGGAGAAGTTGAACCCTTGACCGCTGGCCTCACCTGAGGTGGGTGTCATGTGCCCCCCTGGGAGTCCGTTGATGGTGGCCATGTGCTGCATTTGTGCGGCGGCGAAGGCTGCCATGGGGCTGAGGTAGCCCCCCTGACCGACTGACGCCATCAACGCTGCCTGCTGCTGCTGCACCTGCATGGGGAGAGAGGGAGGGAGGGGAAGGGAGGGAGATATGGGGAGAGAGGGAGGGAAGGAGAGTGAGAAAGAGAGTGTGACTTTATTTAGTCAAGTTTAGTCTGCACTGTTTTTGTGCGTCAGCTTATACTCTATGCGTACTTGCATGTGTGTGTGTATGTCCTACCTGTGCGTAGGCCCCGTAGGCCCCAAACTGCAGGGCCATGGGGTTGAAGATGCCCATCTGACCAGCCATCTGCTGCATGCGCCGGATGGTGCGCTCCTTATCCGTGTCGGCAAACTTCACCACCAGACTTGAGGACGCACCCTGCCACACACACGCAGGTACGCACACACACACACGCACGCACGCACGCACACCCACCCACACACACACACACACACACACACACACACACACACACACACACACACACACACACACACACACACACACACACACACACACACACACAGAGAGAGCAGAGGAGTACATGTGTTAACACATACAAACATACACTACCAAGGACACACACTAGCTGATACACTCACCATATTGAATACTGAACTCACAGGCATTGTCTGGCTGCCGTGTAGTGCACTGATAGCTGCCTGAGCTTCAGCGTGAGAGGAATACTTTACAAACGCACAACCTGAGAGAGAGAGAAGCATAGAGAGAGAGACGCAGAGAGAGAGAGAAGCAGAGGGGGAGAGAGAAACAGAGAGAGGAAAACAGAGAGAGATACAGAAAATTTAGTCAGACAGTCTGTCACTATCCACATCATTCAAACCCCCTTCCATAAGGGGTTGACTGATAAAGCCTAACAATAATTATTTCACTTACAGTATGAGCCTCACTACCACTGAAGCGTTACTATCGATGAAACTCAGTGATGAATCTGATTGATCAAGCTCAGCGATTATTGGGCGTCCCCCATCGTTCCCATTCAACTCACTGACAGAGTTCACTGATGAGGCTTACTGATGAATGTGAATGATAAAGTGTACAGTATTCTTTGGGCTTAGTTGCAATAAAGCATATTGATTAGTGTAAGCCTGCTGATGAACAAAATGAAGTAAAGCAATGAAGCGTCACTGACCAACCTAATGAGGTTTACCACTGAAGCCTGGCAATGAAGCGTACTGATGAAGGGTGTAGGGTGAAGTTGCCCCTAGACGCTGGTCTTGGGTCAGTTTAGCATTTTCTTGGTGCATTGGTACCGCTTGCCGTGTGGTAACAGAGAGAACAGTCTATGACTTGGGTGGCTGGAGTCGTATAAAATGTTTAGGGCCTTCCTCTGACACTGCCTGGTATAGAGGTCCTGGATGGCAGGGAGCTTGGCCCCAGTGATGTACTGGGCCAAACGCAGTAAAGTCTGTAGCACCTTGCGGTTGGATGCCAAGGAGTTGCCATACCAAGTGGTGATGCAGCCAGTAAAGATGCTCTCAGTGGTGCAGCTGTATAACTTTTTGAGGATTTGAGGGCCCATGCCAAATCTTTTCAGCCTCCTGAGGGGGAAGAGGCATTGTCGTGTCCTCTTCACAACTGTGTTAGTGTGTGTGGAGCATGATAGATCCTTAGTAGGAAGGAAGGAACTTAAAGCTCTCGACCCGCTCCACTACAGCCCCGTTGATGTGAATGGGGGTGTGCTCGGCCCTCTGTTTCCTGTAGTCCACAATCAGCTCCTTTGTCTTGCTGAAATTGAGGGAGAGGTTGTTGTCCTGGCACCAAACTGCTAGGTCTCTGATCTCCCCCTATAGTATCATCGTCGTCTGTGATCAGGCCTGCCACCGTCATGTCGTCAGCAAACTTAATGATGGTGTTGCAGTCATGCGTGGCAATGCAGTCGTGGGTGAACAGGGAGTACAGGAAGGGACTAAGCATACACCCCTGAGGGGCCCCCGTGTTGAAGGGAGGTGTTCAGTCCCAGGGTCCTTAGCTTAGTGATGAGCTTGGAGGGCACAATGGTGTTGAACACTGAGCTGTAGTCAATGAACAACATTCTCACATACAGTGAGGAAAAAAAGTATTTGATCCCCTGCTGATTTTGTACGTTTGCCCACTGACAAAGACATGATCAGTCTATAATTTTAATGGTAGGTTTATTTGAACAGTGAGAGACAGAATAACAACAAAAAAATCCAGAAAAACGCATGTCAAAAATGTTATAAATTGATTTGCATTTTAATGAGGGAAATAAGTATTTGACCCCTCTGCAAAACATGACTTAGTACTTGGTGGCAAAACCCTTGTTGGCAATCACAGAGGTCAGACGTTTCTTGTAGTTGGCCACCAGGTTTGCACACATCTCAGGAGGGATTTTGTCCCACTCCTCTTTGCAAATCTTCTCCAAGTCATTAAGGTTTCGAGGCTGACGTTTGGCAACTCGAACCTTCAGCTCCCTCCACAGATTTTCTATGGGATTAAGGTCTGGAGACTGGCTAGGCCACTCCAGGACCTTAATGTGCTTCTTCTTGAGCCACTCCTTTGTTGCCTGTCCCCTTAGCAGAAAAACACCCTCAAAGCATAATGTTTCCACCTCCATGTTTGATGGTGGGGATGGTGTTCTTGGGGTCATAGGCAGCATTCCTCCTCCTCCAAACACGGCGAGTTGAGTTGATGCCAAATTTTGGTCTCATCTGACCACAACACTTTCACACTGTTCTCCACTGAATCATTCAGATGTTCATTGGCAAACTTCAGACGGGCCTGTATATGTGCTTTCTTGAGCAGGGGGACCTTGCGGGCGCTGCAGGATTTCAGTCCTTCACGGCGTAGTGTGTAACCAATAGTTTTCTTGGTGACTATGGTCCCAGCTGCCTTGAGATCATTGACAAGATCCTCCTGTGTAGTTCTGGGCTGATTCCTCACCGCTCTCATGATCATTGCAACTCCACGAGGTGAGATCTTGCATGGAGCCCCAGGCCGAGGGAGATTGACAGTTCTTTTGTGTTTCTTCCATTTGTGAATAATCGTACCAACTGTTGTCACCTTCTCACCAAGCTGCTTGGCGATGGTCTTGTAGCCCATTCCAGCCTTGTGTAGGTCTACAATCTTGTCCCTGACATCCTTGGAGAGCTCTTTGGTCTTGGCCATGGTGGAGAGTTTGGAATCTGATTGATTGCTTCTGTGGACAGGTGTCTTTTATACAGGTAACAAACTGAGATTAGGAGCACTCCCTTTAAGAGTGTGCTCCTAATCTCAGCTCGTTACCTGCATAAAAGACACCTGGGAGCCAGAAATCTTTCTGATTGAGAGGGGGTCAAATACTTATTTCCCTCATTAAAATGCAAATCAATTTATAACATTTTTGACATGCGTGTTTCTGGATTTTTTTGTTGTTATTCTGTCTCTCACTGTTCAAATAAACCTACCATTAAAATTATAGACTGATAATTTCTTTGTCAGTGGGCAAACGTACAAAATCAGCAGGGGATGAAATACTTGATTCCCTCACTGTAGGTGTCCATCTTGTCGAGGTGGGAGAGGGCAGTGTGGAGTGCAATAGAGATTGCGTCATCTGTGGATCTGTTGGGTCGGTATTTGAATTGGAGTGGGTCCAGGGTGTCTGGGATGATGGTGTTGATGTGAGTCATGACCAGCCTTTCAAAGCATTTCATGGATACAGATCTGAGTGCCACGGGCAATAGTTATTTAAAAAGGTTACCTTGGCGTTTTTTGGCACAGTGACTATGGTGGTCTGCTTGAAACATGTAGGTATTGAATGTTAACCTGTTTAAAGGCCTTACTCACATCGGCTACGGAGCGTGATCACACAGTTGTCCAGAACAGCTGGTGCTCTCATGCACGGTTCAGTGTTCCTTGCCTTGAAGCAAGCATAGAAGGCATTTAGCTCGTCTGGTAGGCACGGGTCACTGGGCAGCTCGCAGCTGGGTTTCCCTTTGTAATCCATGATAATTTGCAAACCCTGTCAGATCCAACGAGCGTCAGAGCCGGCGTAGTAGGATACGATATTAGTCCTGTATTGATGCTTTGCCTGTTTGATGGCTCATCGGAGGTCGTAGCGGGATTTCTTATAAGCGTCCAGATTAGTGTCCCACTCCTTGAAAGCGGCAACTCTAGCCTTTAGCTCAGTGCGGATGTTGCCTGTAATCCATGGCTTCTGGTTGGGATATGTATGTACGGTCACTGTGGGGACGATGTCGTCGATGCGCTTATAAATGAAGCTGGTGACTGATGTGGTAAACTCCTCAATGCCATCGGATGAATCCCGGAACATATTCCAGTCTGTGCTAGCAAAACAATCCTGTAGCTTAGCATCTGCTTCATCAGACCACTTCCGTATTGAGTGCGTCACTGGTACTTCCTGTTTGAGTTTTTGCTTGTAAGCAGGAATCAGGAGGATAGAGTTATGATCAGATTTGCCAAATGTAGAGTGAGGGAGAGCTTTGTATGTGTTTCGGTGTGTGAAGTATAGGTGATTTAGAGTTTTGTCTCCTCTAGTTGCACAGGTGACATGCTGGTAGAAATGACGTAAGATGGATTTCAGTTTCTCTGCATTAAAATCACCAGCCACTAGGAGCAACGCCTCTGGATGAGAATTTTCTTGTTTGCTTATGACCCTATAGAGCTCGTTAAGTGCGGTCTTAGTGCCAGCATTGGTTTGTGGTGGTAAATAGACAGCTACGAAAAATATAGATGAAAATTATCTTGTTAAATAGTATGGTCTACAGCTTTTATTTTTGTATTTATTTTACCTTTATTTAACTAGGCAAGTCAGTTAAGAACAAATTCTTATTTACAATGACGGCCTACACCGGCCAAAGCCGGACGACGCTGGGTCAATTGTGCGCCGCCCTATGGGACTCCCAATCACAGCCGGTTGTGATACAGCCTGGAATCGAACAAGGGGGTCTGTAGTGACGCCTCAAGCACTGAGATGCAGTGCCTTAGACCGCTGCGCCACTCGGGAGCTTATCATGAGGTCTCCTGAGTGGCGCAGTGGTCTAAGGCACTGCATCGCAGTGCTAACTGTGCCACTAGAGATCCTGGTTCGAATCCAGGCTCTGTCGCAGCCGGCCGCGACCGGGAGACTCATGGGCGGCGCACAATTGGCCCAGCGTCGTCCAGGGTAGGGGAGGGAATGGCCGGCAGGGATGTAGCTCAATTGATAGAGCATGGCGTTTGCAACGCCAGGGTTGTGGGTTCGATTCCCACGGGGGGCCAGTATAAAAAAAAAAAAAAAAAAAATGTATTCACTAACTGTAAGTCGCTCTGGATAAGAGCGTCTGCTAAATGACTAAAATGTAAAATGTAAATGTAATGAGGTATTCTAACTCAGGCGAGCAGAACCTCGAGATTTCCTTAATATTAGAGATTGGAGGCACAAACCTCCCCCCTTGAGCTTACCCGAGGCTGCCGTTCGATTTTGACGATGCATAGAAAAAACAGCTAGGTATACACTGAGTGTATAAAAACATTAGGAACACCTGTTCTTTCCATGACATAGACTGACCAGGTGAATCCAGGTGAAAGCTATGATCCCTTACTTCAATCAGTGTAGATGAAGGGGAGGAGACAGGTTAAAGAAGGATTTTAAAGCCTTGAGACAATTGAG